AGCAAAGCATCAAATTATGCTTTATTTCTCGCTTCATCTCGATAATTTGACCAAAATAACTCTGATAGCCCATGCCTTTATACCTAAATAAGCCAAATACACAAATCGGGGCTTGCTAGAGGTGTTTTTTAAGACAAAATGTGTTCCCCAAGTGCTTGTGAATTTTCGCTGCGATCTGTTTGTTGTCGAATGCCAGGCTCGAGCAAAGCATCAAATTATGCTTTATTTCTCGCTTCATCTCGATAATTTGACCAAAATAACTCTGATAGCCCATGCCTTTATACCTAAATAAGCCAAATACACAAATCGGGGCTTGCTAGAGGTGTTTTTTAAGACAAAATGTGTTCCCCAAGTGGTATAACAATCATGTGTTTTGACAGATCTCGCTTTAGTCGCGGTGAGCTGCATGTTTTGCTGGATTTTTTAGCCAAAAAAAGCCAACTGATCTTGTTTTTAAGTGTAATTATTAAAAATGATATACATCATAAACTCAGCTTGATTGTTCTTGTAAAAATGAAGCTTGAATTTGAAAATAATAGGAAGATAATCTTAAAATCGCGTGTTGTATACTCAGCTGAATGTTTACTAAAAGCACGTGTCTCATGAGAATGGCGCGCAGCGAACATTCTGAACAGCCTGAAACGGCTGTAGCCAATCAGAGTGCGACATTCGCCTTTAATATATTCAGTTGCGAGTCCATTTCTTCCCACGTCCCTGATGCATGTGACCAAATAGGCTCATTCTATTGGACTAATAATGCATTAAGTATGTATGAGTTTTTGAAGCTTCAGATAAGATTGGTATTGACTTCGAATTTAAATTGTTTATGATCACCGTGTGTGTCGTTAATGAGTTCACCATAATGAAGTCGTAATTTGTCTTATGTTTAATATACATGGGAGAAAAGACACAAAATATTTCAAAGTGCTCAAGCATAAAACGACATACTAAAACGACGAAACTCGAGGAAAGTGGTCAGCTCATGGAATAATTGCGTGATCAGTGAGTCTATATACTGTGATAATTGAACGTCAAACGTCAAATAATGACATTTTGAAAGATTATAGATCATTTGTTGTCATTGCAATGTAGCATTTATTTTTTAATCTCCGCTCGTTTATGATCAAAGTGCATTCTTGGATAGTTTATCTATCAATTTGATCACTGTACAGCGAAAGGGAGGTTTATTCATAAACAGTAAAAATTCAAAGAAATCGAAAATTTGGTCAGAACCACCTGTCAGAATCAGGTTGCTCTAGTGATGTTAAAATATCTTGTCCAATACGACTTATGCCATTTTGGTTCATAGATAAATGTTTGCAAGGACCTATTGTAGCAAGATAAATCGGTTTACTTGGAATACTGGCGCATCAATAAGATATACATTTTGAAGAGAAAAGAACTTGTTTACAATAATACTGGTGCACAGAGGAACACGCACTTTGTTGATATATACTTTTGCCATTCTCCCAGATCAGTAAGAAATGAGACACATGTCAATGATGCCTTGAACAAGCTTAGCAAGAGAATAGAGCTAATTGCAACAAACTCGTATTCAACAGCTGTCGAAGAGGCGGCTCTTATAGGAATGACGTGAGGACCTAACTCGTAAATCGAAACCGCTCAATAACATTGAATACAAAGATGAACAACTCCACGACAGAACAACCATCATCAATGGTGGATGGTCCCTTGTTTGTGTCGATGATTGTTATCAATACTTTCAGTGGTGTCTTGGCGACTATTTTGAACCTCTTGATCATCGTGACTTTTGTCAAGACGCCATCTTTGCGAACGGCACCAAACATTCTTATTCTTAGTCTCGCCATCACTGACTTTAGTGTTGGTGTTTTGGTTCAGCCTGTCCACTGTACATTTCTTTTCTCACATATGACTAACAACACGGCTGTATATGAAAGTGTTTTCGAAGTATTGAATCCAATTTTAGTGATATTGATTTTGGCATCAATTTTGACAATAACTGCCATTACTGTCGACCGATTCCTTGCTGTTCACTTACATCTAAGATACCAAGAACTCGTCACCAAGAAGCGCATCTCAATTGTGGTGATAATGATTTGGACATTCAGTGTGCTTTGGACATGCCTGTTGCTTCTCTTGACAAAAATGACTATCGTAATTGTGCATATTGATAATTTTTTATTTCTTTCACTTTTGTTGATGAACATTGCTCTTGTGCTTAAAATATCTTGCGTTATCCGTCAACATGCAGCACAAATTCAAGTTCAACAGCAGGCAATGAACGCACAGCCTGGTGCAGCAGGGAACATCAAGAGATCTGTGAATATTATGTATTACGTACTTGGAACATTTTGCATATGTTATTCCCCGCATACTTGCGTTTGGATTATGAAAGCTTTTATGCCTAAATTGATCAAAGGGCTGACTGCATTGACAATGGTTAATACTATTCTCATGTTAAACAGCAGTATCAATCCAATCATATATTTCTGGAGAATACCAGACATGCGAAATGCTGCTCTTCAACTGTTGCGATGTTTTCGAAGAAACGACAACCATAGAAATAGCAATAATGATGCCAATGCCAATGCCGATAACAATGTCAATCACAATAATAACAACTTCAGACTTTAAACCCGTGAAACACAGAGTAATATTCAAGTTGTAATAGTCATATAAAAACAATGGACGATGAAGTGATTTTCATCAGAATTTAGAATAATTGTTCGATTTTTTTCGCTATAACTAACTGATTTCTACTGTGGTTACAGAGGCTTGTCTTTTATTCTTTAAAACAAACATAGATGAACAACTCCACGACAGAACAACCATCATCAATGGTGGATGCTCCCTTGTTTGTGTCGATGATTGTCATCAATGCTTTCAGTGGTGTCTTGGCGACTGTTTTGAACCTTTTGATCATCGTGACTTTTATCAAGACGCCATCTGTGCGAACACCTTCAAACATTCTTATTCTTAGTCTATCTATCACATACTTTGGTGTTGGTGTTTTGGTGCAGCGGCCTGCTTACTGTACATTTCGTTTTGTTGATGCGACTAAATACACGGTCTTGCATCGAGTTTTGACCTCTATTCTCTTGCTTATTCTGTTCAAGGAAACTTAATAAAAGGCAGGAATATGTGGGAAAGAGAATATTCATAAATAAAGGAACAGCTTAACAAAATTATAGTATAATTTACATTTCCCCCCAGAATTGATGCGCTAACCCTGTAATCCCAGAAGGCTTAAACCTTTTAAACCTTAGGTCTCATGGAAATACAGGGTTAGTCTCAATACTTCGGAGAAAATGCACATTTTCAAGGCTATTGTAAAAGCGAAATTTACTAGTGCTAATCATTATTTGAACTCGAAATTTCGTAATGATCTTTTAATTAAGATGTTCTCTCGAGGACAATAATAAAAGTTTGCTAATTTTGCCTCTAAATAGCTTTTTTAGAATATCACGTGATCAGTGAAATTCAAGAATTCAAGTTATTATTTTTCTGAAATATAAAGGTGTATAAAGCAAAAAATAAAAGTAAAAAACAATAAATTAAATGAATCTCAAAAGAAATGCAAAAATGACAAACACCCATATCAGGTATATGTAAAAAAAAAAAAAAAAAAAAAAAAAAAAAAAAACAAGACAAAACAAACGAAAAAGTAAAAACAACGTCAAACGCCAAAACAATGACTTTTTGAAAGACTATAAATCATATGTTGTCATTGCAATTATTTCACAATTGCATTTATTTCACAATCTTCGCTTCGTTTATGATCAAAGTGCATCCTTGGATAGTTTATTAGCTTTTATTCATCAATTTGATCACTGTACAGCGAAAGGGAATTTTATACGTAAATAGTTGAATTTCAAAAAAAAAAAAAAATTAGTCCACCTGTAAAAATCAAGTTGCTATGGTGATGCCAAAATATCTTTCCAACAGCACTTATGCCATTTTGGTTCATAAATAAATGTTTGCAGGGACCTATTGTAGCAAGTTAAGCTGGTTACTTGGAATACTGGCGTATCAATAAGATATAGATTTTGAAGAGAAAAGAACTTGCAATACTGGTGCACAGAGGAGCACGCACTTTGGTAATTTGTCCTTCTCCCAGATAAGGAAGCAGTCACATGTCAATAGTGTCCTGAACACACTTAGCAAGACAATAGAGCTAATTGCAGCAAACTCGTATTCAAGAGCTGTGGAAGAGGCATTTAGATTTTATGATAATTTTATGTTAATTTGGATTTCTTGATGTAAAAGATGTTTTTGGACATTCTGGACAGTAAATAACATGGCATGAAAAAAAGCTTTGTAAAATATTCTTAGTTGTACAGACGTCTTTAATCCACGAAACAAATAGTACTAATTACTACTAAATTATGTTTAAAAGACAAAAATGGAAAACAAAGGATTTCTTTCGAAGTTGTTAAACTGTGAAACAAAACTTGACGATTGAAGTGTTATAGTCAAATAGACGCAGAAGAAAACAACGCAATCAGACAG